CACACACACACATGGCCATCCAAGGCCGGTTAACCAGCGAATGACCAATGCACTCTCTCTCTCTCTCTCTCGGCCACGATCACCAACCAACGGCGCTATGCTATGCTATGCGATGTCGTCATAGTTGGCCCCCCCTCTCTCCGTTCCCGGCTCCGGCGGCTGCTCGCCAGATGGCAACGGGGGCTGCGGCGGCTGCTGTTGCTGCGAAGCCAGCAGATACGTACGCACCACACCACACACACACGAATCACGTGTGTCTGTCCATCTGCTCAAGGGCACACCTGTGGTGCCGGCTGCAGCTGCTGCTGTGGTTGTTGCTGTTGCTGTTGCTGCTGCTGCATTTGCATCATTGCCTGCGCCTGCGCCTGCACGTGGGCCTGCTGCATCTGGTGCTACACACACACATACACACACAGAGATGTAGAGAGAAGTGCGTGTTGTGTTGGGAGAGGGTGAGGGTGAGGGCGAGGGTGAGGGGAGGGGCAGCGGACTGACATCGGACATACCATTGCAGCAGCCGAGTACATCATGGCCGTCGGGTCGACAAAGAAAGCGGGAGGCGCAATTGGCGCCATGGGAGCCATCCCGCCATAGCCGCCATACATCGCTACACCCCCACCACACACACCAAGACGCACGCAGTATGAGAGAGTGGCACTCACTTCCTCACTCATGTGTTCTTTCCCCCCAGACGTACATACCGAGATGTGGTGGTGGGTGAGCGGCGCGAGCCTCCCATGACGGACGAGGGCCGCGCCGTTCGTGTCGTCGTGCCGCAAGGGGGCGGGGCGGGCGGGGCAGGATGACAGGGGGTGCTCCTGTCTCAATCAGACGCGGCTGCTGCTCCTGCTGACTCACTCTCGGTTTGAAGAAGCCGTCTGATGACGATGCCGCCGGCGCCGCTGGTGCTGGTGCCGGCGCTGGTGGTGGTAGTGGTGGTAGTTGGGACGCTGGCTGCTCTTGCTGCCCGCCTGTGTGTAGAAACAGACAGTCGAGCACGGGCACAGACATGACATGCATTTGTTTGTTTGTTTGTGGTGTTTGGTGTTTGCTGTGTGGTGTGGACGTACTCGGCTGGTGCTGGTCCGCCTGTTGCTCAGCAGTTGCAGTGTCAGCCACCGCCGAAGCTTTCTTGGCCGCATGGATGTTGATCTTCAGAGCTACATCTGCAAACACACACACACACACACAGAGAGAGAGAGATGCAGATCAAGGGGTAGGTGTGCATGTGCTGTGTGCATGGCTTGCACACACAGCACTCCACTCACACGCGGCCTCACGTTTGGGCAGGGGTGGGGGCGCCGCAATGACCACTTTCGGCGATTCTACGGACGGCACAGACAGACAGACAGACATACAGACACACATAGATGGAGTGACAGCGTGTGAACGTGCGCATGAGCTCACCTTCTTCTGCTTGTGGTGGTGCTTCGGCTGCTGCCTGTGGTGATGGTGGTGGTGGTGGCTGTGGCTGTGGTTGCTCATGTGCCGGCTCAGATTCTGCATCACCACCTGCACACACATGTGGGTAGATGTGTGGATGGTGTGAGCAGGTGCACCTGTGGCATTCACCGTGCACGCACTCACCTGTGGCCTCCATGTCCTGTCGATTGCCATTCTCCTCGTTCCCCTGCTGCTGCTGCTGCTGCTGGTCAGGGGGGGACGCTGCACACACCCACACACACACACAGAGAGAGAAAGAAGTGTGTGTGGTTCCCCCCCCCCAAAGACACACACGCTTCCACGAATATACCCACCTGGTTTCTTGACGTCGAATCGCCGCTTCGGTGCCATCAATGGCTGGCTCTCTGCAGCAGCAGAGGACACACCCATCTTCATCCATCCATCCATCCATCCACCCTTGTGAGTGTGTGTGTGTGTGGCGGGAGTGGGCCCCCACGCACAAAGGACAAGACAGATCGGTACACTTACGTGTGCTGCTTCCTCCCCCTTGATCCAGCTGCTTCTTGTCGACAAGTGGCGGAGAATCTGACACACATACACACACACACACACAAAATCCATCCTTTTGGCCATGTGTTGTGTGGGGTGGGTGGGAATTGTGTTGCATGCCTGGAGGTTCTGGAGGTTTCCCGACGTCGAATCGGCTCCTCCGTAGCTTGCGAGCAGGGATCACCACTGCACACACACATACGCACACAGACGTGTGTGTCAAAGCACGGCAGCATGTGTGTGTATGTGTGTGTGTGTGTGTGTGCGTGTGTGGGTGGTCACGTAGATACCAGTGGGCGGCGCTGGTGGTACTGGTGGTGGCTCGGCTGCTGCATTGCCCCCATCCTCCACTGCAGCGCTGTTGGCTTCTCTCTCCTGTCGACACACACAGACATCCACACCATCCATGTGTGGACACACACAGACCGGACTGATGAGTGGACTGATGAGTGGATACCTCCTGTGCGTTGTCGTCTCGGTCCGACATGGGCTCACTCTTGACCCTCTCCTGCTGACACACACACACACACACACACGCCCGCAGATCCATCCACGCGCGTGTGTGGTGGCGGTGGTGGTTGTGGGGTGGTGCGCACCTCTCCCTCTGCAGCAAAGTCCTTCTCGTCGTTGTTGTCCTCCTCCTCCTCCCTCTCCTCCCTCTTGACCCGCTTCTTCGCCGGCGGCTTCTCGTCGCCCTCGTCGACACCTCTCTCTCTCTCTCTAGACCGGCTCGACTCACTGCTCCCAGACCTGTGAAGAGACACACAGACAGACAGACAGACAGACAGAAGGACAGACAGACAGACAGATGGGTGGGTGGATGGATGGATAAAGCACGAGTGTACCGTCGCGATGGCGATGAGGAGCGTGAGTCCCGACCCCTACAGAGAGAGAGGTACAGGTACAGGGAGAGGGAGAGGGAGGGAGAGATGTGCGTGTGCCCGAGTGTGTGTCTCTCTGTTGTTGTGTGTACCGTCCCCTCCCCCGAGAGCGTGAGCGTGAGCGAGACCGAGACCGTGACGGTGACCGCGAGTACTTCTTCCTTCCCCCCCTCTCCCGCCCAACACGCCGGTCAGCTACACTCACACACACGGACAGACAGACAGACAGAGGGGGAGAGAGGAATGTGTTTGTGGCGCGTGCTGCTGCTGCTGCTCTCTCTCTCTCTCTCTCTCTGTGTGTGTGTGTGTGTGTGTGTGTGTGTGAGGCCGCTGACCTGAGGTGTCTCTGTCTCGGTCCAGACGGTTCCTGAGCCGACGGATCTCTTCTTTGCTGGGGTGCCTGAACCTGGTCACCCACAGCACAGGGGGGTGGGGGGCGTGTGGTGGGTCTTCTGTGTGTGCGGCTACGGCTATGGCATTGCATTGTGTCGGCTCACTTGCAGTTGCGGCGCGGGCACTCGCCGTACTCGCAGTAGTCGAAACACAGCCCCGATGGCCAACGGTGCCGCAGACCACTGCACACATCATCATCACACACAAACACATGTAATTTGTGTGTGCGTGTGTGTGTGTGCGCCCCGGTGGGGGAGTGAGTGACATCGCACTGGTATGCTCTTGTTCGTTTCGAAGGCCTGTCTCTGTCTCTGTCTCGGCCGCGTGACTGCGATCGGCTGCTCCTGCATACAAGCGCACACACCCCGACACACACACATGGGTGGCCATGTGTGTCTGCTCTGCGTCCATACCGGCTGGACCCTGACGGCGATCTGCGCCGAGCCCGTCTGCATGACCACAGAAAGAGACAGCGACATGAGTCGATCCATCCATCCATCCAATCGGCCAGGTGTGTGCGGTGGGGTGCGCGTGCAGCACTCGAGTACCTGCCCTTGAGTCGAGGAGATCGCCGCCTCCTAAGCATCATACCCACACACAAGGACACTCATGTGTGTGTGTGTGTCTGTGTGTATGGGTGTGAGGACCTGACAGACAGACGTACCGAGGTGTCTCGCTAGATGGCGTCCGGGGTGACCTGCCGCCCCGGTGGCCACGCCGCGACGGCCTGACGCCCACCCACCCACCCACCCACCCACCCACACATCCATCCATCCATCCAGCGTGTTGGGGTGTGTGTGTGTGTGGTTGGTTCTCACCCTCTGTCTCTATCGCGGTCTCGAGATCGATCAGGAGGGCTGCGCGAGCGGCCCCGCCGTCTCCCACGCTGCCGCAGTGGCCGATCGTTGTCACTCTGACACA